AATTATCTAAAGGAGACATAATTATTATAATGTTAAAGTATTCAGCGTTTAATGAACAAAAGAACTTAGTTCTAATCTTGATAAAGTATTCATCGTTCAATGAACAAATGAACTTAGTTCTAATCTACACAAAGTTTTCAACGTTCAATGAACTGAGGAACTTAGTTCTAATCTAGATAAAGTATTCAGCGTTCAATGAACTGAGGAACTTAGTTCTAATCTATACAAAGTATTCAGCGTTCAATGAACTGAGGAACTTAGTTCTAATCTACACAAAGTTTTCAACGTTCAATGAACAAAGGAACTTAGTTCTAATCTAGATTAAGTATTCAGCGTTCAATGAACTGAGGAACTTAGTTCTAATCTATACAAAGTATTCAGCGTTCAATGAACTGAGGAACTTAGTTCTAATCTAGATAAAGTATTCAGCGTTCAATGAACAAAGGAACTTAGTTCTAATCTACACAAAGTTTTCAACGTTCAATGAACAAAGGAACTTAGTTCTAATCTAGATTAAGTATTCATCGTTCAATAAACAAAGGAACTTAGTTCTAATCTTGATTAAGTATTCAGCATTCAATGAACTGAGGAAATTAGTTCTAATCTAGATAAAGTATTCAGCGTTCAATGAACTGAGGAACTTAGTTCTAATCTATACAAAGTATTCAGCGTTCAATGAACTGAGGAACTTAGTTCTAATCTACACAAAGTTTTCAACGTTCAATGAACAAAGGAACTTAGTTCTAATCTAGATTAAGTATTCAGCGTTCAATGAACTGAGGAACTTAGTTCTAATCTATACAAAGTATTCAGCGTTCAATGAACTGAGGAACTTAGTTCTAATCTAGATAAAGTATTCAGCGTTCAATGAACAAAGGAACTTAGTTCTAATCTACACAAAGTTTTCAACGTTCAATGAACAAAGGAACTTAGTTCTAATCTAGATTAAGTATTCATCGTTCAATAAACAAAGGAACTTAGTTCTAATCTAGATTAAGTATTCAGCGTTTAATGAACTGAGGAACTTAGTTCTAATCTAGATAAAGTATTCAGCATTCAATGAACTGAGGAACTTAGTTCTAATCTTGATTAAGTATTCAGCGTTCAATGAACTGAGGAACTTAGTTCTAATCTAGATAAAGTATTCAGCGTTTAATGAATAAAGGAACTTAGTTCTAATCTGGATGAAATATTCAGCGTTCAATTTGCAGTTCAAATTTTGACAATTTATTTAAAATATTCAAAATAATTAAAAAATTATATAAAAACGAAAATAAGTAACGTTTATGATTACATCTTAATACATCAAATTGATTCTTCATTCACAACCTTAACAGAAAAATCACTTAAAAAATCTCAAATCCATTAATTTCGAGTTCCTTTAAGTTCATCATTTCAATTGACCATTAATAAAGCTCTTCAGCAGTAACAGAATTTCAGTTATTTGCATTTTTGAGTGAATAATTGGATCCAATTTCTGCTTTCAATAAATCCATTTCATATAAAAGGAACTTATTTGATTAGTGAATATTTTCCAGCTGCACAATTTTTCGTCTCTTTCTCAATTTGTTAGTGGAAATTCAAATTCTGCTTCATAATTGAATCACAAATAGAAGTAAAAAAAAAACTCAATCGTTCAAATGGAAATTTAAGGAAAAACTTTTTTCTTTTGTATTTTTAATAAATCAATTAGAAGTTTGGTTCTATTTTTCATACATCCAATATACAATACACATCAACCGATGAGTGAAAGTAGAATTAAATAAATTCAATAATCTGAATCTGGCATATTTTCTCTATTTTATCCGAAGAGGAATGGGGATATAGAAAGAGCAAAAAAAAAATTAAATTTCAATCATATGCAACTTCGAACAAGGGAAAATTTGTTCCTTTTTTTTGCTCTCGATCCTGATATATGTGTGAATTTATATTGAATTTTCAATAAGTTTTATAAATGATTGTGTGATTTATTAATGCAGTTTGGCTTAAAATAAAGCTGGGATGCTGACTGTAGTGCATATATTTGATAAATATACATATAAGACCTAAAATCCCATAATTGTGTGGTTTATATGCAAATTATAGTAGTGATAGACTAAGCCAAGCAAAAATAACCGTTAAAAGCTATGTTTAACCTTAGGATAAACAGATAGAGTTCTGCACTTAAACCTTGAGGTATTAAACCCATGACGGGATCCAAACCACTCAATTCCTGACATTTCTTAGTAAGGTTTTTAAAGTAGTTATTAGTTTTTTTTTTATAAAGCTGTAAGCTTGCACTTAGCTTTAATTTCAGTCCATATCAATTGTTAAAGTCTCGAATTCATGTTTAATAATACATACTGAATCACAATGTCATATCAAACGACCTATTCACCAATGGGAGAGATGTCAACTCTCTATTGAACAGACTCGGTGCCCGAGCATCTTAATTTATGGATTTACCTGCTCCGACATCTATTGCTATTTTTTTTTTGTTTTCTTTGATGAAGCTAGGTTCTATTTTGCTTCTCTTTTTTTCATTTAGTGCTTACTCATTTACACTCACTTAATAATTTTACAGACAGTATGTCTAAATCAGCCAGTACATCTTCAACGCTGCACCACAACACACTAGCACAGTGCTGAACAATCTTTTTTATGACATAGCACCTCAATTTTTCTTTGATAGTCACACATCAGAATCCTTATAAGCACATGAGTGCACCATAGCACACAGATTGTACACCACTGTCCTAGTATGTCACCAAATAGTTTGGTAATGTTCAAAGTTTACACAGTTGTTCAGTATTTTAGCACCATAAGCTCATAAATGCGCTCTATACACAACTGTAACCCATTAAGGATTCCTCAACTAATTTTATATGTTTTATCAACATGAAAAAAAAAACTAAAGCAGAACAACAAGCAACCGAAACTTGAACAAGGAACAAATATTTTATTTTCATTGCAAATAGGTTTTGATTAAATTTCATTTGTGTTCATTTATTTTCATCCTGTGCAACTAAAGATAGACTTGTTCATGTTCATCAACATTGGTGACTAAAAAAGTATCAACTTTAGTTTCACCTTGCACCTTCATTTGCTGGCTACCTTGACAAATTTCTATCCGGATAAATAGTATATTGTGTTTATTTTGACTCAATTATGTGAGAGACTATTGAATGTGAAAAGTTCTACAGGACGGCAACAAATAAAAAAAAAAGCTTGTTTGTCGATGAATGGGATAAAATTTTAGTTTATAGACTGTACATGCATGAATATAGGAAAATATGTGCATTTTGAGATCATAATAATCGGATATGTATTGCACGGCTTTTTCTGTTTATGTACATGATGTTTTAGCATCTCCGACTATTATAGCTGAATAGAGCTTCCGAAAAAAATGAACAGCAGGATGCTCATGCTTGCTCTTATTATTATTTCTTTGTAAATTGTAACAATTTTTTTATGCTGTATATGCATAAGTTTAACCCATTGTTTCCATATCCCGACGTCGTTGACAAATTTTCTGTGTGCTTAAATGCCATACAAATATACATCATAAAAAGCTGAAAGTTAATTGTTATTCTGCAAAATTTCGTATGGGATAAATTTAATATAGTTCGAAATTTTTCACCGCTTCCCGTGATGCTGCTGACCTTAAAATTCTACATATTCATATGCAGCATGAAATATTATGAGCATTTAAAATTTAATTTATTTTTGATTTATGCCAAAAGCATTTGCAGTTCCTGTTATCAAATTATTTTCTTCTCTTATCGGATTTTTTTGTTCTCGTCTTGCTATAGTTTGCAGTCATCCTGCATGGGAATTTTTCAATTCGATTTTATATTTGGATTATTGCAAATATTTTTCTAGTAAATTATTTTTTATTGAAATTCTTTTTATTTTCTATTCTGGATGAACAGCAAGTTTAAAAGGATTTAGGGTAGAGATGATTAATTTGATTTTTGATAATTCAAAACTGACCCCACCGGGGGAAACCCCTTCTTAATTGGTTGCTTTCTTTTGGATAAGATAATTTCAGATAAGATCAGGCTCTTACTTACTTATTTCGCAGGCCGTACTGATCAATTGTGATCCAAACTCTCCCTTAGATGGCGCTTAAAGCTGGCTCTATCGCTAGCTACCGTTTGCCAATTACCCATACCAAATGCAATACTGTCTCTGTCAATGATCAGGCTCACGACTGTCAATATTAGAATTTTTTGAAATTAAGTCTCAGATTTAGTTTATCCCTGCTTAAAAAGTTTGAGAACCTTATAAACCCTAGCCTTAAAAGGCCAAACAGATGAGATAGTTTGGTGAGGCTATTAATAATCAGTTTTCTTGATCATCAGCAGTGGATTTCCTTAACTTGACATTTTTTAAAAATTCGGAATTAGACTTTGGATTCTTTTAACACCTTGCCCTTCCCAGTCTCTCATAATCTTCTGAAAACATAAAATCTAAAAGAATAAGAAACCTGAAAAATTTAATATAACAATTTATGCAGCAAAAATTTCACTAATCTTAACAACATCTGCTCAATAAAGTGCAGCTGCTTACTCATATTTCGCGAGTCATTCAAAGTGTGCCGCAAAAAAATTCTGAAAAAATGTGCAAAAATTATCCAAGTGTCAACACTTATCCCCAAAAAGATGAATGAAGCACACTTTAGACATTTATTTTTTTTGCTGTAAAATGTGAAGCATGCCTTAATAGTTGTCCAAACATATGAAAGAGCTCCAAAATAAAGTTTATTTTATTTTAAATCGATTCGATCGAAAAACCAATCATCATCAAATTTTGATAGAACCACAAGTGTTGATCAATTTGAAGCCTTACAAACACCTAATAGTGGAAAAGTGTGCTACAATCAATTAATTTAATGGCATACGCGTCAAATGAATTCATTTATGATGCATCGATCAATTAAATGAATTTGAATTGGAAATTCTTCGAAATTATTAAAATTATCTATTCAGTCCGATTCACATGAAATTGTGATGTTTAGGAAGGGGGTCAATATTGAAAATTCATCAATTCATCCTGCACAACAGCACAGCCGATGACTGTCAATGAATATCATGAAAACTAATCAATTAGATGATGAAATATTCAGATTCTATTCATCACTCGTTGTTGACATTCCTCGTACATAAATATTCAGAAGCGACATTTCTCTCCCTCAGTATCAGGTGCCTGAAAAGTTCTTCGGAACTATATTGAATTTATTATCATCCAAAATCGAAGGGAAAGTCGAACAAAAATAAAAAAAAAATTTATTGAATAAATCATTATTATTATTGTCATTATTCTAAATAATGTCAAATCTATTTGAAAGTATGGCCAACCCATAGCAATCTTTATATGATTATTATTGCATGTTATGAATGTGATTTAAAATCTAAATGTGCAGATGCGATAAATTTATCATTCTATTGTCATTTATACGTATGTACATACATCTTGTAGATGTAGACAAAAGAAACATGTGTTTTCATGGCACTTAACCGACACCGAAAATTTATATATGTTGAAAAAGAAAATTATTATTATCAAAATGTGATAAATTGTCTTTTCCATGTTCACTCCTTGTAGTTCCATACTCGGACTGCGGACTGAGTAATATCACAGACAAATTCAATTACGATTTCGTGACAAGAAACCTACTGGTTAGTAGGAATAAAGATATTCTTATAAAATCACTGATGCTTCCTGAGATATTAATGCTGCCACTGGAGACAAGTCGAGTGTCCTAAAGACAGAAGAAAAATTACTTTTAATGCTAATTTCCGTTTCACTTTGCAGCATGATAAATTATTACCTCTGGCAGTCTGTCACATAAAAGTTGATTTCGAAAGTGCTTAAACAGTAGATGAAAAATATGCGACACAGACTGCTCCTCGCACGCGTCTATTTCAGTCATAATACAATTTTCAATTTCATCAATTACTCTATTGAGATTCACAATTATTTAGAAGTGTTTATGTGACCAAAGATATAAAACCTTACGTGCATTCTTTTCCCTCCATGAGATTGAACAACATCTCTTGCTTTTCATGGACATTGTCTGGCATGGCTGAGAGATAGCAATACCCAATGGTGATTACATTGTCTATCATACATTCCTGACCTTTTTGTGAGAAGAAGTCTGTAATGATTTGATGGTTGAATTTGAAATGTTGTTCTTGAACTTGTTGTGGGAGGTTTTGATGGAGTTATGGGTTATGGAAGGGTATGTCGTGGTGCAATTTTATAGCTTTGATATCATTTTTTAAAAATGGCTTAGAAAGTTGGTTAAATGACTTTTCTACATGCCCTATTATGAGTTTTTTGTTGAGGTAGATCCAAAATAAAAGATGAAGCATGGAAAGGGATCAGATTTTTGAGAAAGAGGTACTGCGATTCAAATTAGAAAATAATATATTAGGCAGATTTTAACTCGGATTTAAAACCTTATGTGGAAGCGTATCTATCAGTTTGAGAGTGAAACCTCTGTGGATGAGAGGATAAAACGTGTGTTCGAATCCAACCAGAATTTTTAAACCTACAATATAGTCTTCTGAAACCAGAACCTCATAAGTATTATTATTAAGCAAGATTTAAGCTAGTCTGCGTAGTTTTAGAACGGACAGTCCTGTATTTCAAAACCCTGTCCTGTATAAATTTGAAAATTTTGTTCCAGGTCGTGTATTTTTTTCACGAAAATTTCCGTTAATTTTCAAATTTTCCTTTGTGTCCTGTATTTTTTAGGAAATTTATCAAATGTCCTTTATTTTCATAAAAATTAGATGGTCACCCTACTAATGAATCAATTTGCCTTTAAGCTTGCTTAAAACTAGCCTTTTTAATTTCTTATTACTAGTGAGTTTTGTCAATACCACTAAAATTCAAATAATGCTCACAACATTACACTCTCGATTCAGATATGTCTAGATTCCCACACTTGATAAGAAAAAAGCAAACAATTTCTTATCAAAACATTTCCCAGTCAATGAATTTCATCAAAATATTTACTTAACATCCACAATACATTCAGATTGATTCATGTGTCTAGCCAGCATGACAGTTCATGGTTCAATAAATTCTAAATTGACAACCAGAATGACATATTAGTTAAAAATTGTTGCTATAGAACCAATAACCTCCTTTGACAGAGAAATGCACCAGAGAAAAAATATAAAATAAATTGCTTCATACTTTTCATTTCGTCTTGATCAATTCTACAAATGACTTCGTACAGACGACTAGCAATGTCTTCAATTTTATCGAATGCCTCAATTTCTGTTCCATTTAAACATTGACTCAAAAGACTCTTCAATTTGTCATTGCATTCGTTTCTTACACGAGTCGCATTTTTATTATTGCACTGACTGGAAAGAGAAAATATTGAGAGAAAAAAAAATATTAAAAGATTATTAAGCTAGAAAAAGATTCAATAAAATGCAAAAGCAAATGATGTCACGAGTGTCAAGAATTTAAATGAGATTTTAATTCCATGGGATTTGAATAATTTTCAATTTTAATTATAATATCATTAAAATTAATATTTTTTCAGCACGTTTGTGTGCACAGACATGAATGCGTACGTCTTTTTTTTTTACTTCTGTAAACCACTCACGTTGTGTAAAGCTCATAAAATTCTTTGGGATCCGTTGTGAGTAGATCCCTAAATGTCAGACTTAGAGGCGTCTCATTTAATAATTCCTCGCGGCACTCAGCAATCGTTTGTTCAAGCCTATCAAAAATATCCTTGTCTCCCGTACGATTTAAGCACATGTCCTCAAGGAAGTCAACTTGGGAGGAGATGAGTGAGAAAACGTCAAAGGAAACTTCCTCATCCTTATGACATTGTTGGGATTTTATGAAAATTAAAAAAATTATTGCAAACTTTATGAAGCACTTCATATTTGTGATACAGTTGAAGATTAACTGTCGGAGCTTATTGAGTCGGGGCAATAAAGTGTCAGCTAGTGATGAGAGAATTATCGGAAATTTATTATGAATACTGAGGTGAATTTAATTGCGATGAGGTGAAGGGGGAAGTGAAATATTCTCAGTCAAAGTTGTGCTTTTAAAGGCAGACTATCATGCATTATTACTGACAGGAACTTTAAGATTTCTGATGAGATTTGCTTATATGGAATTATTATTAAATGAATAAATTGTAGCTTCATTTTAATGAGAATCTGAGGCTGATAGTTTTAGTATGCATGGATAGGTGCTTGTGTTAGAGATGGGGTAGGAGAATCTATTGTCTAACGAAAATAATTAATGATGTTCTGATAAAAGGAACATGTGTCTCTTGCTTTAATAATTGGAAATGGAAGAAAATGTCATTCTGAAGCTTTTATCTTTAACCAACTAGGCAAAATCTTAATACCCCCTTGCTATGTATAGCAACATCAAAAATGCCAGTAGTTTGAGAAGCACTGGCTCTTACCAGACCACTTCAATAAATTCTACCAAAATCACAAAATTTTCACAAAATAAAAACTCTTCCAAAAAGACCAGCAGACAGGTTGAAAAAGAGTCATTGAAGTATCTTACACAACAAAAATAAAAGCCATGGAGATAGCAATAATATTCAGACATCAGCTAACAATAGAATAAAAGTCTTTTGAATGTGAAAAACTAGAAGCACTCATGTACATATGCGATTATATTCAGGCTTCAATAATTTTAAACAATATAATGAAAAGAGGAAGACAGACATAAATAGAGAAAAACCACTTGTTCATCAATTATTCTCTAGAGCATCATCATAATATACCAAACCCGGAAGACTCATCAAACTAGAAATTGTATGCAAAAATTCTAATTATAGACATTAACATACAACTACTTAGACTTAATCATCTTACTCCTTAATTGCATTCTCCCATTCTATACGCTCTAAATGCTTTATTGCCATTTCTATCTGCTCATATGCATCCTTTTTTTTTGCATCCTTAAATAGAGCACGAAATTACCTGCCTTTTATTACAACTGCATCTAATTACTCATCTTTATTTCTTCTGTAACATACTCTCAAAATAGACAGCATGATCTGGTGGCGGTTTGGAACGAGAACGAGACTAAATTAGTACAATTATTAAAGATATGTAGGAACATCATTAAATTACATGTTCTCCCTGCAACCGCGATAGTGTAAAAGTGTTTCGGGAGAGAAAACCACGCTTTTTCATATTCACACATTTCCGCAAGGTTTTCCGTTTTTCTGTTTATGAGATGAAAAAAAAAAAATATTATAAATACTGCACTTCTGCTTGTACACTGTTTGTGTAGCTGTACTTATATACATTTATGCAAATTATATAAATGAAAAAGGGAAAATTTATAAATTATTATTTTTTTCTTCTCTGCTCTCTCGCATATCGCACATTGCATTGAGTCTGTCGCGCTTAGTAACGGAAGAAAAGTTTTCAATGTATGTGCTGGGAAGCATATGCGTTATTGTTGTCATTTTGGAATGGCTGAAACTTTAGGAGAATTTAGGAATTTTTGTGCATATTTCAGGATGCGTGTGTGACATGGATGTGATTAAGGTACATGATATTCCAGCTTTTATTTGGAAATGCACTCAATACAAAGTTGGTTCTAGCTGATACTAAACATTCATTTTGGCTTAGTAATGTTGAAATTGTGTCTTTCAATATCGAACTTTAATTACTCTTCTTACGCAAATGTTGCCCTCGAGTTTTTAGGAGTCAACTTCATTGCAGTAACAGTTGGGGCTCTATTTTGGATAAAACACTTAAAATTCTCAAGTTCTTGATAGTATTCATTGGTTTAGATACCCAACAGTACGAAACAAATGCGCCACATCCAGTTCAACTTCAAAACTCTCAAGATTTCCATCCATTGCATTCTCTAACTTAATGTTACTTGTTTAACATCGTATTTCAATGCACAATTAATTATTAGAATTGTGTTGCTAGTGTCGTAGCATCATCATCATCATCGTGTGAGCAAAACTATGAATGTATATCTCTAATAGAGCAAAATTGGAAATATAGCAAATCATGAAAATAGAGTCGATAAAATGTTAATTGATTGCATCTATCTCCGCAATTTTATAAATAAAACTGTGATTGATTCAAGTAATTGAAAGAGCGAGTCTAACACATTTGTAGACTATCGTCATCTATTCTAGTTTAATAAGGATAAATAGAAATGTCTGCATGTATATTTATGTAGGAAATGAGCTTTATTTTGAGCGACTAAATAGAAAAATATTTAATTAACAGTTCGACGAGAGGATAGATGAACAAGTCTGGAATAAAACTACACAACTCAACTCGACTGCTTCTCTTTATAATTAGCTAAAGAGTGATGATGCAATTTTGTTGATTGAATTAAAAATTTTCACATTTGCATAAATGTACATATTTATGTGTGTTTGGATGCCATGCATATTCATGATAGTGCTGTCTTTTAGTTCTATATCTTTTTATTTTTTGTTTTATTTATACACAACAATCGTCACTGAGCTTCTGTTTAGAATGGAAATGATTGTGCTTGGAAAATCTCAGCATGCACATATGCTTCAGAATAACTGATTATATGACATCGTTGAAAATTATGTTGTGTTATAAAATTTTATCATGCTTTCGCTGTGATATATTTTTTGACAGAAATTGATGCTATAAAAAAAATTTTCTTTAAGCTTCTCTGGCTTCTCTCTTTGCTATAACAATTTTCTCATATGTTAGTCCGTGTATTGTTGGAGATTGTAAAACTTTTATAGAGAAAAGTTGTAAATTTAAAGTTATGAATTAAAATGTTCACAAATTTACATGCTTTTAATTTCATAACGTTGAAATTCAAAGCATTATCTTTGAAGATTAGTTCCAACAAGAACAGAGCTAATCCCTCATACATTCTCATTCAAAGAAATTCCAAAGCAATCGCAATGATGGATTGTCATAGAATTTTTTCTCTCTCAATTTTCTAGTTACTCTCACGCATATTACCGTTGCTTTATTCACACCATCATAGTAGCTATACCTTTTATTCTCAATATATAAAATAGATCTTTGTACCTGAGAATATTTCTATTGTTTCATATTAAATTGCGAAAATAATTAGGGAATGTTTATAGAGCATCTGAATAAAGAAGGCTATTAGAAATGTATTAATGCAAATGTCACTATTTTTATTAAGGTCCAGTTCATCGATGAGGTATGATTTAGAATAAACAAAAAACTGATAATTATGAAACTATTGGGGATAGCCGCAAATACTTAAGGTACCCGTTATTCTGAAAAGCTCTACGTAATAAGTGAACGCCGCAGATGATGCAATTCTATGCTTAACTATTAGAGAAGTCTTTCGTCGACCATACTTTCAGAAGCACTGCCCCTACTTACTTACTGTAACTATGTTCCTATGTGGAGCTTAGGTTACAACTAAAGGTTTTCCATGTGGTTCTGCTGCTGGCTCAGTCATCTAGTTTGTACAATTTCTCAGTCCGCACCAAGGGTGTGGAACTGAAGAATTTCATTTTGATCATTTTTGATCAATTTTGATCATTTTTGATTTTTTTTGATCATTTTTGATCATTTCATCAGTACCACACCATTGGTCCGCACATTAAGCTGACATTTATTTATCATTGTTCTGGGCCAAATAGCTTTTGGAATCACTGCCCTAATTTAATTTACAAGTGACTGTTGAATATTTTAATTATGTGATTAAGCCTGATTTTTCACTATGAAAAGCAAGGGCGTAGACAGGAATTTGCGGAGGGGGGTTAAGTTCTGATTTTTTTTCACAAAAACCCTAGCAAAATGAAGAATGTCACCCAAATCTCATCCCAAGCTACGCGCCTTATGATAAGAATATGATGTAAAATATTTGATTAGTTTTCTAAAAGTCTGAGTTAAAGATTGAAAAAATTACAAGTTGATCTACAGCACTTAGTGTCAGAAGTGACCTAAGACATAAATTTTGCATCGCCACTAAAATAAATCAGCAATAAATCCAAACAATCCATTGACCTGGATATCCAAGATAAATACTTATATCACTGAATACTATATTGATGAATTTAAATAATTAAATAATCACGACAAACGGTGTGAATAATTTAGATAAATAAGAGTTCCATTCATTTTTATGTCTTACTCTCAAAAATCCTCTCCGTCCACAAATGTCTCTCTCGCTTACGCTCCTATCTCATTGACACACAAAAACACATTTTGAGAAGAAAAAAAAATGTTCACAGAGAGAAGAAAAAATAATAAAAAAAATTAGACGTGCTTGAGGTGTTGTGGAGTAAAGTCACAAAATTTTTTTCGTTTGCCACGAAAAAAAAAGTAAAACAAAAGAACATTTTTTAAAGGAAATTCTTCAAATTGATTTAATTTTTTGTGTTTAATTTGTATCTTATTGTCAAAAGTGAATAATAAAGTGCATTTTAAGGCTCATTAAGACTAAGCCAAGTCAAGGAATTCAAGAGAGATTCTCGTAATTTGGAAAAAAATGAGATGTGTGTAAAAATATTTCTTTGAATGTAAGGAAAGAAAAAAAAAAAGATGAAAGAATAAGAAATCACAAAAATGTATAAGTAAAAAAAAAGAGAATAAGAAGCAGAAGAGGCAGCAAAGAAGAAGAGAAAATATCTTGAAAGTCTGCAAGAAGTAATAATAACTTTCCTAGATTTGTGTTGGTATATTTCATGTTTTTGTGGCCGTAGAGCAAAAAAAAATATAGAAAAAATAATAAATATATAGACGTGCTGAGAGAAATTAAGTGCAAGTGTATAAAAAATTTAGAGACATTGGATATTGACGATTGGAATTAAGATTGATGAATGAAAAGAAAATAAGAAAAAATTTATGAGTACATAAGAGCAATCAAACAGGTGAGTTTTATATTCAAATCTAATCGTATTCATGATTCAATCTACGTCTGAAAGCATTTTGAGTCAATGGCACTTTGAAATGATGTCACGAGAATCTCTCATCAAAAGAAAGACCGAAAAAAATAACAACAACAAGGGAATTTTTTTCTTTCTTCTTTCTGTTGTGCATGAAAATTTCTCCTCAATCTCCAACACACTGAGTCTAATGTGGGTGTGTGAACCAAAAAACACACAGCCGATTTATATTTTCATGTCGAACTGCGTGTTTATTAGATCGGGAACAATATTTCAATTCCTGTATGAATATTCAATTCATAATTTCTTCGAGCGTAGCATTTTGAGTCCATTCTATTGTAAAATCAATAAAATTGATCATGAGAGAACTGAAAACATTCTCTATGGTCTTGTAGATTATGTCTATATCTGACCGTATCATTGAGAATATTTGAAATATCTTTTTCTCAATCTTTGAACTGTAAACGAGTTTTGTCGTGTTGTTATGAGTTATGGAATCTCTTATCACAAGATCCAGTAACTTCGACATTTACCAATAACTTCCAATTGACTCAGAGTTGTTGATCTACAGATTAATGCAATTGCACTAGATTCTGAACTAAATTAAGCTTAAATGCATCAATTTGAAGTTATTTGGCGCCTGATTCAGTCTACAACCTCAATTGACTCAGACAATCTTTAATTCTTAAGCTGAATAACCCACAGACATAGACAATGGACTTTCCAAACTCATTCCTCAACCATCAACTCTGCCAATTTCTTAGTATATAAAAATGCGCCATCATATCTCATCTATTGATATTTATTACGGATTTTAAAACTGCCTCAAACATTGTTGTTGCTGTCCCTTACGCCTTTTTGGCACAAACATTTATTTTGTCAGCCAGCCAACCATTCAGCTCCACCATGTAATAACAAAATATCATTAACTATATGCTCCTTTCCATCCTTCATCTATCTCCATAAATATTATTTTTGCTGCTGCCACCCCTCACTTGTCGTTGCTGCTAGCTTGCTCAAAAAACATGGCAGTAGTACCAGCAGTTACAGAAATCCTTCACTGTTTATTATGACATGGAATTTGAATCATGTTTTTTTGTTATTCCTTCCTCAATCCTTCTGTAGTGCTTCATGATTGTTGTTCTTGTATCATGTGTGTTGATATGTAGATTTTTTTTATATTTTATTTTCGCAAACGTTCATATTATGACGGCGTAAATTTATACACATATATCTTTAGCTACAAAAATTTAAAAGAGGCGCTAAGCTATTTCAAGAACAGTGATATATGAGCCGCGTGAAACTAGTTTGGACGTGGACAATTGAGGAATATGAGCGCATTTTTTCATGGCATGATCATGCTAGATATTGGAAGGCGATAAACTGGTTGGCTAAGGAGATGAATAGATAACTAGATTAGCAGATGTGCAAATAGACTTGAGTCCAGACTTGACCAGTCCAGCAAACAGACACAAAGACAGAATGCAAAAATTAACTTATTTTACTTCTGAGCGAACAGCGCTAAATAGGGAAATAAAAAGAAGAAATCGCAATTGTTGAAATGTGCTAGAATAAATATATTTTTTTGCTGTTTTGCTATTTTCAAATATTCTATGAATGTTCTTCACCTCACTTAAAACTGACATGAAAATGTTTCAAGATAAAACACAACTGAAGGAAAAAAGGGAAAAGAAAAAAATATTATACATTTGACAACATATCGACATAAGTTTTGTAAGACTCGAAATGGAATTTTATGAGTCTTTCGAGGAGAGATTTTACTTGTCGGAAAGGAAGCTTATGATATGTTAGAAATTTTTTCCTTAGATTCTTGTCAGCTGAGAAAATTTTACAGACAAAAAAAAATGTTTCTTTGAATTTTTTAAGAAGCATAAAAGTTTTGTAAGTTCTGATTCTGAATTTACTGATTGTAGCTTTGGGAAAACTTTGCTGTGTAGCTTCTTTGTTTTTTGTGAGGAAAGATTGTAATCCAGACTAGTTTTCAAGTTCAAATACATTTTGGACATATTTTGCTAAAAATGTGAGAAATTTTTGAGATTATTTAAACTTTATGGTCAAGTTGGCTTCAATTGAACCTGACTCATACTTTATTGTGCTCTGGTTTCATTTGGTAAAGTTACAACACTTGCATTAGTCATGAATTTAACATTCAATTGATTAGTAATCAAGCCAATAATACCAAGAACAATTCCAATTGAATCATCTCAATCATAAATGAAACACAAGCTTCTAGGTCAAGGATTTTAAGCTTTCAATCTATTCTAATGAAACACTATCTAATTGCTTATTAAACAAACAAAAAACAAATCAGAACCCGTCCCACTTCCATTTAATTCTCTCCTAAATCACAACAAATTTATTCCATTGATTATCACCATATTGACAATCTCCATTCAATACTGATTATTTGTGAATATTGGCCGATGAGATTATCGTCACATTTTGTAGTGTAAATCTCTTGATAACTTTGACCTCTTTACGGATTTATTTTATTAAATTCTCATTTGCATTTTATTAAAAATAAAAAGTTAATAAACACTGATAAGCGTTAAATAATTAATGAATTTTATAATATTTAGCATTGAACCAGACAGTGTTTTTGAGAAATACGTCACAATTATTTGTCAATTTAGTGATAAGGGTAGTCATGTGGTATGAGTTGGGGACAATATTCAATGTTTTGATTGGAAGAATTTAATTAAATGTCGAATCATCTTCAATACTTAAGATTAGAGTGAACTAGCGTAGCTCTGAGCTATATCAGTAGATTTTCTCGGTGGCAAGCTGTTATCACTAGTATCCTAGCTTTCTAAGTTAAAACTCAATTTCAGCGCTTAAATATCATTAAAAATTCTCAAAAACTATTCCAAATAGCTTCAAAAACTTGCCAACATTCATTCCCACGCTCATGCAAATCAACAACTTTTGCAATTGCACTTAGCACACAGAAAATTTTACTTTCTAAGCAAATTAAAGTTGTTTAATATTTCCAAAAAAAAGTTTATATTAACCGCGTTTTACATAATTTTCATGGTAAACATTCGAAATTCCTTAGCAAATTCTAGTTAAATAAAGTTTCGTGAAACAAGAAGTGAGATAACATTAAAATTGAGTTGCTTCAGTTTTGGCAGTGGTTACAAAATTAGATTGTCTGTAAGTTTCACGCAAAAGTTTATTTCTTTCATAATTAGATAATTTTATGATGAGAAGTCTTATTGTAATCGGTAATAACTTTATGTAATCTTCATTATATCCATAGTTACATGGATTAATGATGCATTAATCGACATGCTGCATTATCTTACATCTACAGAGAATTTGGAAAGTTTTAGTCATCAATTTAATCTTTAATAAATTAAACATATTTTTCTGATGAAGATAGCAAGGCAACATACTGCCAGATTTCCCTACTGAATCCCTAAATATTAAGACGCAGCAAGCTAGCAGGATCCTTTAAAAAAAGGATAATTGGATTATCTTTTATCAGATTGTAAGCCGGTGGAATCAAAAGTACTTAAGATGGTATTAATCTATATTCTTGTGCTGATGCCGGTCTTTTTTTACTTTTTTTGTTTTAAAAGTAATTTTGAGTGGGATGAACTTGATGAGATTTTAAGGATGTCTTGTGTCTCTAAATTGAAAAGTATTGTTATTTATATTTATAAGATAAATCAAGTTTTGTGTTGATACTCAGTCAATCAAAATCGATGGATAGAATCTTGTAAGTTTGACTTAAAGCTGACAACTTTCTCATGCCTATAAAAAACATTTTATCTTCTTGTCCAAAGGTCTCATTAATACATAATGCAATATTCTCCGTAAATTTAACATTGTATATCAATTTGATTGTAATTAAATGTCACCAAGTGGATGAGAACAAAAGGCAAAATTACTTTATATGCTAATAGGTACAATATTTTTGTTCCTAATTTTCATAAATAACTTAATGATAATAGGCTAATGTAACATGCAATAATAGAATCTAATGTAACTCATTAAGTTAAGACAATAAATCGAAGTGCTGGTTTGTTCTATATTGAAATGATGATGATGATGATGGCGCGGTCGTAAAACCAGCATTATAATTTTTTATGAATATATTTTCACTGTGGTTGATTATTCATACTTATTTTTACTTATAGAGAATTTCCTAAACTTGTTAACTTAATAAGCTAATTCTTTAAGCATTTTTGAAATACTAATTTTATAATTTTTCAAAATATTAAGAGTTCCAGCTAGCACTTGCTTTAAATTCACAAAGAAGACTTAAACTGCTCATAAAGTTATTAACCAAAAGAATGAAAAAATTTGTTGAACTTCACGCTTGAAGATTCCCATAAAAAATATTAATCCAACAATTTTTTACATGCGAGTCACATTGCTAAAAGCTTGGTTGAGTTGAAGGTCTCAAGTTCACAAGCACGTCTTGTATTTCAATATAATTAAATTTTTGTGTCTGAATTCCGAAGCATTTTTTTCGGTTACAGAACCATTGCTCTTCTTAATAAGACAAAAGAGATTCTCACAGACGATAAATCTCAATTGTATCAAAGACGACAGTCAATTGATAGTTTTAGCAAAGATTAGAAGACTTTCAAGTACAGCTCCGCAATGTCCACAGTTGAAGAACTCTTAATTGAAAAATAAATTGAAGATTCCAAATCCGCGCATTAATCCACGCTTGTAATTCTTCTTACTGTTGATGATTCACAAGAGCCTTTCGCTTGCCATTCACAAAAGCTCTTTTTCTCGTCTGGCATTAACCTTAAATACTCGATTTTGAGAACATTGACATAGAAATCCACGATAAATCTTCGTGTATTTGAACTTAGTGTCAGCTTATTGCGTAAAATTTGTCAATTACTTAGCACATGCGGAAAATTGGATTTAATTGAATTTTCGTAAGCTGCTAAAATTGAATTATCAAGTTGTTTCAAAAACTTTCAACTCATCTGTCTTCTCTT